AATTGAAAGATATTTATTTAAAAAAGTTTTGTAATTATAGTGAAAAATTATTTGAATCAAGTGAATTTGAATTGTTGGGAAAACCAATCCTATTGGAAATTCTCAAAAGAGATGATTTTTCCATTAATGAGATGGTTATTTGGGAAAATATTCTTAAATGGGGATTGGCAAAACATCCAGAAATCAACAATATTGATGTTGATGATTGGTCACCACAAAATTTTGTTGATATGAGTAACACATTAAAAGAATTTATTCCTTTAATAAGATTTCAGGATATTTCTAAAGATGATTTTGGTTTTAAAATTATTCCATATCACAAGCTTTTTCCTAAGACTTTATGGATCTCCTTTTACATCATCATCTATTTCCTTATAGACAACAAACATTAAATTTATTACCGTCAAGGAATCCTAAATTTGAATCACAGAATTCAACACTTGAATCGTTGACAATCAATCAAAATCTTACTTTGCTTTTTGCAAGTTGGATTGATAGAAAAAGTTCACCATATAGTTCATTCGGGGAAGTTAAATATGAATTCAAACTTATATATCGCAGTAGTAGAGATGGTGATAATGCAAATAAATTTCATCAAAACTGTGATAATATCAATAAAACTCTTGTAGTTGGCAAAATACAAAATTCAGATCAACTAGTAGGAGGTTACAATCCACTTAATTGGAATGGATCTAACAAGTATATAAATAAAAATACAACTGAAAGTTTTATTTTTAACATTCATAATAGAAATAATATTAATTCTGCACAGTTTAGTTATGCTATAAAGAATTATGATTATGCAATTTACTGTCATACTTTACATTTAGCTCTTTTTGGTATTGATCTTGGTTTTACGCCAAGTAGAATTGTTGTTAATAGACATTCTTCTTATAGTGACATTAATATAGTAAATAGTAATTATGATGAATTAGAAGTATTTCAAATAATTACAAAAAATAAAATTACAAAAAAAAATAATTAATAATATTTTATTTTGTTATTTTAACAATAAATTTATATTTATTATAGGTAATATAATTTTTTTAATTGAAGATTCTAAAGGCTATTTGTTAGTATTTTTCTTCTCTTAATAATAAAAATAAGAATGTTTCTTTATTAGATATATTTATATACATTTTAATAATGTGAGATCATGGTCTGAGTTGCAAACAAACTTCCGATGCTTGTGATGATATTTAATATGAGTTTGCTATGGCTGACACTATCTGTTTCCTCACTATTCTATGCTTCCTATATATAAAGAAAACCTTCTTTCTGAAAACAATTCTCTTGGATTTATGGATATTTATAGTTGGAGGAAGAATTAGAAAAAGAAAATTGTCATATTGTATCCCTCATCCATTTGCAAAGAAAGTGCTGTTTGAATATACTTGCCTTTCGGAGTTTCCAGGTAAAAATAATGTAGTTATGTAACATAGCATATTGTTGTCCATAAATGCCATAAACTGTAAAACAGTAAAACCATAATGATTTACAGCTTTATTATTATAGATACAGTACCATAGCAAAAGTATCAGACGTCCTAAATTCATCAATTTCCCAATATCGAAACTTATAGAGTTAATAGCTTAAGTTCTGAAGATTGTGTACTGCAATGTCATATACATATCCTTTAATAAATAGCAGTATATTGGTGGTGTTGTTATTACAAGAATATGTTGAGTTTTCTATCTAATACAAATAATTTCTGTTTTCTAAAAATAATAATATTGACCATTAATTTATTAATAAACATGATAAATAATTTAACATTATCAGATTGTTTAACCATAGATTCATTTTTTCTTTAAAAAATAATTAATATAATCATACATATCTCTTAATAATGGTGTACCATCAATGCTTGCAATCTTGAGATAATTTTCGTGGTTATCAGAGATTTCAACCTATATTAACTCAAAATCTTACACGTGAAGTAAACGAAATAAGATATCGTTATTAATAATCTTTTTGTAGTATAAAGCATCGAAGAAGGCTACTAAAATATGCATTACTTACTTTCATAAATAATAAGATTATAAACTTGGTTCCAATTTCTTTTTTTAAAAAATTTTATAAAATTGTTGTGAATTACACCAAAACCTATTAACCAATACCCCAATAAAGTAATGACCATATGAAAGTTTAGAGTATTCTCAAAGTGATATTGAAAAATAATCTCAGCTTTGAAGCGAAAAAGTAATGCCATCTTTGAATAGCCATAGATTTATGCAGAGAAGAGCTTTCAGTATTCATTAGAAAGTTTTAATAGAGCAATTTCGTCTTGATATTTTAATACACATGTTGGAAATTTTTATCATTAATGGTTACACTAATGATGTATGACGAAACTTTTGACTTTGGTCATTTACGTAACTAAAGTATTGACTAAAGGTAGTTTCTCACCAGGGCCATTTTGACAATTTGACTCAAGTAAAACCACTTGATGTAATTAAAAATACTTGACGTAAGTAAAGCTTGATATAAGTAAAAAATTTGACATAAGCAGCAATAATGATAATAATAAAAAATGTGTCCTGGGGATGAATAAAGAATTATTATATCATTGTATGTATATTGCAATGATGCAAGAAGAATAATTATCACGGGAGAATTAAACTACTTGTTTTTTCTGTATATTTTCTTTCGAAATAAAAATGTCTCTAATTAAAACTATTCTTTATTATTACATCATAAAATTAAATTGTCTTTACATACATATGAGTTGTGTTAAATTGATATTTTTTCGAATTTTTGACTTTTGAAGTTAACTACGTGTAATGAAAATGCGCAATAATACTAATAATGTGTTTGAGCTGTCTTTAGTGCCTGAGTTTGAAACAACATAAATTGATCAATATTGGTACTAGAACGACCTTTACATAACACACAAGACAGGTTTTGGTGCATATTTTTGTAAGTTTGAAGATTTTGGTATCTTCAAGAATGCTGAAATTCTTTTATTGTTTAATCACGATAAATTGATCACTAGAATTTACTTTAATATTAAGTAATACAATTTTCGCTTTTCAATCTGTTGGAAAAAAAATTTAAATGTTGTACGAAAAAAATTATTTGTTACACTCTTCACTTTATACCAAGTCAATTTATATCTTTATATAATGTCGCATATTGAATTATTATCATCATTATCATCAGAAAGAAAGGATTTTGTATATAAAATTTATAATGAAATGTATAATAATGCTCTGGTTAATTCTGATAGAGAAAGTATAAAAGATTATTTTTTTTCATTGGTCAAAAAAAACAAGAAGCTTTCTGAAAATGAAAATGAATATTGTAAAGAAGAATTTGTTTATACTTTTGAATTAAGAAATGCAAAAAATAAAGAAGGCAGACCAAATGAATGTAACAAGTGTAAATTGACAAGGTATTCTGATAAATTCTGTGAAGGTTGTATTGGTTTACAATTACAGAGTCTTTTCACCACTTGGACATCTGGAAATAACATAATTGATGATTTTATTCAACAATGTCAAATGAAATCATCTCTGCCAGACCATATTTTAGAATGGATACCTTTTGAGCAATTTGAAAAAGTAACAAAGTTAACTGAAGGTGAATTTAGTTCAATTTTTACTGCTACATGGACAAGAGGATCTATTGCTGATTACAAAGAAAATAAAGAGAAATTTAGTTATTTTAGAAGGGTGAATGTAGTATTAAAAAGTTTAAATGATTCAAGTAGGTCAGGAAAAGGCTTTCTTGATGAGGTTGGTAGTTGTTATTTAAACAAAATAAACAATATTGTATTATAAATACTAATTGTTTTATCTTTATTTTAAGGCAATGAATTATTGTAAAATTAAATCAAATTTAATTGTTCCTTGCTATGGTATAACTAAATTCCCAGATAATGGGAATTATGCAATAGTTTTAAATTATCTTAGAGAAGGAAATTTAAGGGGTTATTTACAAAAAACCATTTAAATTTAACATTAAAAGACAGAATTACAATCTTTAGATATATATGTGATGCATTAGATGATATACATAAAAAAGATTTAATCCATTGTGATTTACATAGTGGTAATATACTTGTGGAAGGAGGTAATTGTTATATTACAGATTTGGGATTATGTGGACCAGTTAATGAAACGTCATCAAATAAAGTCTATGGAATTGTATCATATGTTGCACCTGAACTACTTAGAGGCAAAATTAATACAAAAAACACAAAAGAGTCAGATATCTATAGTGTTGGGATGTTAATGTGGGAAATATTTACAGGTCAACCACCATTTGACAATAGAGCTCACAATCATTGTTTGATTTTTGATATATGTGCAAAAGGTTTACGACCACCAATATTACCTGGAATGCCTGAAGATTATGCGCAAATGATGCAGAGGTGTTGGGATATGGATCCATCAAAAAGACCAACCAGTAGAGAGCTTTACCAATTTGCTATTAATAAACGTGATGAAGTTTTTAAAAATAATAATGATAATAGTATTAATACTACTAGTAGTGATGGTAGTAGTGTTTTGCAACAAGTACATGAATCACACCCAGATGCATATCATACAAGCAGAATATTAGATGAAGAGATTGCTAAATCAAAAAGCTTGAAATTTTATACAAGTAATGATAGTACATTAAATAATCTTGATTTTAACTCTTTCCTCTTAAATCTTGGAGGTGAATAAAATTTCATTATTAATCAATTGGAACTTATTATCCATTGATTATTACTACCAATATTTTTAATTGCATTGGATTAGTGTTCCTATTCATATCTCTAACTCCATATTCGAATATCTGTAACACTTTCAAATATTCGTAATAATAACACTTTCAGATATTATATATTGTAATTATAATATTAATATATATACTTTATTTTTTTTATTAATGTAACAACATTTCATATAAATTTTTAAAAAATATAAAAACTACATTTTACTAGCATGCCTGTATGCATGGTAATTGATGTTTAACTATCCAAATGTTTCTAAATTTAAATAGTAATATATAAAAATTATTTGACACCAATTTCGAATATGTTAATTAATGTGAATATTCGAATAGGAACACTACATTAGATTTTAATAATTAAAGAAAGAATTGATGAATGACCAATTTAATCCCCCTAAATCAGTGTTGGAAATTTTATGCCGGGGTTTGTGCTACATTAAAGGTAGCCAATAATCTATTAGCAGGATTTGTGCAGAA